CCTAAACCCTAAACCCTACTGCGCATTATGGCCCCCACTTCGGCATCCAAAAGGGCTTAGGCTTGAGCCCCAGAGTTAGAGTCAACAAAATGACTGGGCTTTGGGAACTCTAAGGCTTGAGAAAGTTCAGGGATTGGGGTTTAGGNNTTAGGGTTTGGGAGTTTAGGAGTTTAGGGTTTAGGAGTTTAGGAGTTGAGAGTTTAGGAGTTTAGGGTTTAGGGTGACAGGGAAGAAGGAATGGATTGCTATAGTAGCTGGTGCATAACCCCAATAATACAGTAGCTTACATTTCCTTGTCCGTTCCCTCTTTACCTATGAGCCAGCACGTAAAGCCTTGAGATTTCTTCCTATACACCCGCGTATAACCCAAATAGCTCCTACATTGAAACCTAGACAGCACAGGACTCTTCTGATCCTTTCCTTGCCGAGCAGCCCATAGCGATGCGCTTGGCCTTCACGACGAGATCCGTGTTGGCGCAATTCCTTTTTAATTGGTGTTTGAAGTTTAGGCCTAGACCCTAAGTCCTAAATGAGCCATAGTCCAAACTCCTAGTATCCCCCTTAGTAACCCCTATAGTACTCCTCTAAATCATCCCCTATATAACCCCCTTTAAGGAGTTTAGACTTTAGGGCTCAAGGTTCGGGAGTTAACCTTCATTTTGTAGTGGTCTGCTAGACCTTTCTTGCCACACGCGGCCTACTGATGAGAGACAAATGAAGCTCAATTAAGTCTAAGGCTGGAATTATGGGCCCCTAGTATGTAGGGTTTAGGGTTTAGGGTGTATGGACCCTCAATCCTAGGGTCCTTATGTACAGGTTTTTCTCTGGAAAGCCTTACAAGCTAACATGCTACAATAAATCCTGGATACCGGGACCCCAAACAACCCCAGGCATTTTTGAAACACCCATATATCTACGTCTAGTATATCTACCAAATTTTCGTATACTCTAGACCTTACTTAACCCCTAAGCCCCCCATGTCCCTAATAGAGCTCTTGTATGACTCCCAAAGCCCGTCTGAAGGGACTCTTATACCCTAAATCCTAAACCCGAAGCCTTAAATCCTAAACCAGAAACCCTAAATCCTAAAGCCCTAAAACCCTAAACCCCAATCCTAAACCCTAAACCCTAAACCTTAAAACCCTGAAACCTTAAATCCTAAATCCTTAAATCCTAAAACCCTAAGTCCTAAATCCTTAGAATCCTAAAGCCCTGAATCCTACACCCTAAACCTTAAAATTCTAAAACCCTAAACCCTAAAACCCTAAACCCTAAACCTTAAAACCCTAAAACCCTATTAATCCTAAAACCCTACACCTCAAAACCTAAAACCCTAAAACCCTGAATCCTACACCCTAATCCTAAACCCTAACACCCTGAATCCTACACCAGGCAGGAATCTTCCACTGAACCGTCTGCGGCTCGACGCGAGAAGCGTTGAGGCGGAGCCTCGAAGATGTGGGGTTTCAAGGATTTGGTTTAGGGTTTAGGGTTTAGGGCTTCAAGGATCTTAAGGGTTAAGGGCTTTAAGGGCTTGGGTTTTAGGGTCTTTCAGGGTTTAGGGTTTAGGGTTTTAAGGGTTGAAGGTTTTCAGGGTTCCTCTTTGGGGCTCTGTTTTGGGTTTTAAGGGTTCCTGGTTCAAAGGTTTCGGGCTCCTCTTCGGGGATGTGTCAGGATGTTGACAAGGATATATGGGTGGTTAGCCGCGGGCTTTAGGATTCAGAAGTTTTGTGTTTAGGGCTTGGGGCTATGGGTCTGGAATTGGCCAAACAAACTCTAAACCCTTAGGGCTTAAGGGTCAGGGCTTAGGGCGTTGGGCTTATGGTTTAGGCCCCCCAAGCTACGTGGAACCCCTTTTACCGCCCTTTCTACAAGGCAGTAGTCTACAAAGGTCACTTTTTCATGTTTTATCTTTGTTTGTCGAGAGCGTAAGTAAGGTTTGGATGGCGTTGTTGGAAGAAGAGCTACGAGTACACTACCTTCGGCAGCAAGTACGGTTCTTCTTTTGAATATACGAACCACTTAGATTGATTTTGGCTTTGGTGAATGATAAGGTTAAGTTCAAGGCGTAGGGTTACGATTTCAAGGTTTAGAGCTTCAGGGTTTAGGGCTTAGGGGATGTGGTGCTTGGGCATCTAGGGCTTCGGAATTGGCATCTGTAAGGATCCGAAATGGAGGCCCATGGAAAAACGATAGCTTGCTGTGGTGGTAAGGGGGTTAGGGTCTGAGATCCACCCTAAGCATTAAAAATCTTGAAGTGTGATCAGGCTCTCTTGTGGTTGGCCTTCAAGGGATGGCAGTGCTCTGGCGATCACTAAACCTCCAGCTGAGAAGCCCCTAAACCCAAAACCCTAAACCCCTAAACGGTTCTTCAAACCTCTAAAATTTGAAGCCATGGCTCCCAAAGCCCCAATCCCAAAACCCTAAGCCTTAAAGGTTCAGGGTTTGGGGTTTAGGGTCTAAACGATGCGGGCCCTTCATCCGGTGGTTCCTAAAATGCCCGCGGGCCCATTAAACCTAGAAACCATGAGGCCCCTACACTCGCTGCTGTTAAGGAACTCACTTAAGCTACCGCAGTTAGGAATTAGCTACCATTGTATAGCTGCATATCCACATAGTGGCGATCTCAATTAGAATTGTGAGCCGCAACCCATTTGAGTCTTTAGGGTTGGATCGCAGGTCATATGAGCTATAAGTCTAAACTCCTAGTATCCCCCTTAATAACCCCTACAGTAATCCCCTATATAATCCCCTATATAACCACCCTTTAAGGAATTTAGATTATGGCTCATATGTAGACTCACCGTTCAGAATTTAAAGTATAATGCGGATTTGGCCTTGAGACCCTAAACCCTACTTGAAGGGTCAGGTGGGCTTACTAAGTAGGTTCGCCTTGGGGATATAGTCCCCCTTAAGTAGATAGAATATGGGGTATATGGGGATCCTATTATGACCTACCCAACGCCACAATCTATCTACTTAAGGGGGACTATAACCTATATCGGTTGTAGGGGTTGTTAAGCTACCTACATTGGGAGGTCGAGTGTTCCAAATTGGATGCGCCAAGGGGGACAAGAAGCGCAGGCAATTATCCTTGGTGCAACGCACACTGCCAGGTGTCTCCAAAAATGGCTGAGGAGAGACGCATACGGTGTGACTTTTGGAAACTACTTCACATGCATCTTGCGCATCGGCAACTTGCACCGTCCGCCGCAAACCGTGTGAAAACACAGGCCCTTGCGAAGGAGGTGTGGACAACGCCCCAGCTGCGCTGTTCCTGGGCGTGGTACCTTCGTCATCTCGCTGTTCATGTTGTTGTGATTCGCCAGTGCTACATAGAGGATCCCCCAAAATGGAACCCCTCAATATGAACCCATTACTACATTGGCGAAACTAGTGGATTATTAGGGGGTTCCATTTTTTGGATACTTCAGGGGGCCTGGTAGAGCAAGCGTCTCAATTGACCTCCAGCCAAAACTCTGAGTCCTGGGCGCTACGCCCTCAACCCTAGCAGTGAAACTCTGAACCCTAAATGAGCTATAGTCTAAACTCCTTAAAGGGGGCTATATAGGAGATTATATATGGGACTACTATAGGGGTTATTAAGGGGGATACTAGGAGTTTAGATTGTAGCTCAGATGCCAAACAGTAAACCTAGGCCCAGAAACTAAAGCCTGCAGCCTTCTCCAAACACGCATAGAATCTCGGCGCATGTGGGTTTCCATGTTAGTTTGGCGGGCGGAAATCCCAAACCCTACACGCTAAGCCCTATAGACCTCTATCTCTATATACCCCCCTACCCTTACAGAATCCTATGACCCTTTTTTAACGGCTACTGAAAACAACCCTAAAGCCTAAACCTTCATCCTAAACATGTAGCAGCCGCGGCACGTGTTTCCGTGGAACTCGACGCCGCCGGATGCCTCAGCAGCCTCCACAGCCGCGTCCCGGCTGGCCTCCACTTGCATTGTCGTGTGCTGTAGATGGGTGGGTGGGTGGCTGGCTGGCTAGCTGGCTGGCTGGCTGGCTGGCTGGGTGGTCTAGGGTTGAGGGTTTAGGGTTTTGGGTTAAGGGTGTGGCTTTTAGGGTCAAGGATTTAGGAGTAAGGGTTTTAGGGCAAGGGTTGTCAAAGGGCATTCCGTCAAAGGCGCTACAGGATCACAGGTGTACTGTATATTGCGAGGTTTAGAGTCCTAGCGTGTTTTTGGTGGCTGTAGCAGATAAGAGGATCTTTTTCTTACAAATCAGTACTGTACTCCCCGTCCCCGTAGTCATAACCCACCCCCACCCCGTACTACAGTAATGTTTTCTCCACAGTATATAACGATACCATACTATGGGAGGGGGTTAACAATTAGGGGGTGGGGCTTTCATTATTAGGGGGAGGGGATTACAACCAAACGGAGCATCTGGTCTTTCTCTTTACAGGAGGCTGCTGTATGTCTTCAAGATGTTACATGGGTCTGCAGTTCAGGGCTTCGGGTCTTTAAGGACAAGGGCCTACGGGTTTAGAGATGTACGCTGTAGGTCTAGGGTTGAGGTTCATGGGGAGGGGCTCCAATCAGAGAAAGGGTCAAGGGGCTGGGGCTTTCAAACTAGGGTATGGGGCTTTCGATGCGGGACTAGGGCTCACGGTTCAGGGTTTAGGGACGTGGTTCTATGGCTTAAGTTTGAGACAGTGGACTTTCGAAGGCAAAGTGGGAGTTTCCCCAGATTGTGGTTCCCCAAACTGAGATGCTCCTTTGGGGCAGAGTTGGGATCCCCGTACTTTGAAGACGCGAAGACGGGGACCTTAACTGCGAGAAGTTTCTGATGGGGACCCAGTGAAGGTCTGGGATTTGAGGTTTACTGTGGCAGTTTAGGATTTTGGGTTCAGGGTTTGAGGGCACCGGTGACGAGACAAATTTGGGCAGGGAGTGAGCCAGGCTGTGTATGGACATCACCGAAAACAGACAATGCATGTATGGAACACCCACCACTATTCCTTGGGAACATCCAACCTGCACTGAACCAAAACTATTGAAGCAAAAGAAGCCCTACCCCATACCTGGCAGACCCTGGACTAGAGCCAAGCAATTACCAGTTCCTTCACTACCCCCTCCTCCACTACCCCCCTGCATGTTCCCCCTGAACTCAGATTATTTGAGGGTCCTGAAGGCTAATTGAAGTTGACTAAGGATGACCGGGGGGGAAGTATAGGGCGGTGGGGGGGGGTAATAGGGGGAACCCATGTGAGCTATAGTCAAAACTCCTAGTATCCCCCTTAATAACCCCTATAGTAGCCCCATATATAATCCCCTATATAACCCCCTTTAAGGAGTTTAGACTACAGTACACATGGAACCCACATAACCTCTGGAGGGACTGAATAATTCAGGGTTTAAGGGGTTTAACCCCCTTTAAGGTTTAGACAATAGCTCATGTAGTGACGCCGCCTCCGTCTCGAAAATAGCATAGGCGTCAGGGCAGGTCTTGATCTTCTTCCTTGGTTGAGGGCTTGGGGTTTGGGTTTAAGGGTTTCAGACTTTAGGGTTTAGGATTTAGGGTTTGAGGTTTAGGGATTGACCCTTCACCCAACTAACATGGAGGCCCTTACCGTTCAACGAGGACAATGATACTTGTAGTGATACTTGTAGGGCCCATGCGGGGCTTCCATCTAGTTTTGGGGGAGTCAGTGTGAGGCTTCGAGGTTTAGAGTGACAAGCCGCAGAATCTCGACAACATCCACCTCCTTGCACTCCTGAAGGCGCGAGCTAAGGCTTAGGGTTAAGGTTTGAGGCTTAAGGTTTGGGAGTTCGTACCAACGAATGTAGGGACCCATTTCATTAGAATGAGAACCAAATGGAAAAGAACATGCAGCATGAAATGGGCATTGGGTTGGTATTGGATTTTGCGGATTGTAATGTCCTTTGCCATTGGATGAGGGGTCAAAGGGCTAGCTCAGTAATGTAGTGGTCTCCCTAAACCGTAAACATTAGCAATGATGAGATCAAGGCTATGGCTATGGGGTACATTATGCGAGAATTCTGTGAAGATTACAAGAATAGTATTTTGGTGGTTAAACCAAGCGAAATCATATCCCTTGTGTAAGGCATTACACCCAAAATAAGGATACAACCTTACTCTATGTTGGGTATGCTTGGACATCACTTCATCCGCGAACCGAACAATGGGCAGCTTTGGCCCCTCCGAGGTAAGTACCATAGCACCCCCAAATCAAATACTACTCATAAGGGCATAGCAGTGATTACTACTCAGGCTTCTAGAGTAGTGAGCTTAGGGTTTGAAACTGGGATCAGCAATTGCTACAGGCGGAAAGTTGCAGGCACCGTGAGTTTGCATCATAGATATCCTCATCATCGGTATGCTCATCATCGGTATCCGAGGGGCTATATAGGGACTATGGGAGTCGATTTCGGAGTATTCTGGGCCCATAAACAACTCCTTATTTGGCAATTTCCCTTCTATCTTCCCTTAGATTGGAGCCCCTAAGCCCTAAACCCTAAATCTTGAACCCTAAAGCCCAAGCCCTCAAGGACTGTAACTGTGAGTGCATAAGCCCCAACCCGTTTAAGATCAGAGCATGGTTCTGAACAAAGGGACTTTCTCGGAGGGGTTGGGAACTAGCTAAATGGTCAGAAAATATGGTTGCAATTAAGGGGTTCTATGCTTTTGTCGGGGCTTATAATCAAAACAACCCGAAACCCTAAACCGACAGAACTATCGCCACTCGACGAGTTCCTAAGCCTTAAGTGGCATCTCCTCAAAAAGGCGAAGGGCCCATGCTACAGGCGCGCACTAAGATATTACCAAGAAACGAGGGTTTATAGGGTTTAGGATTGAGCTTTGAGCTTGCAACCCGCAAATCCAAGTCCAAACCCGCGAGCTCGAGGGCTCTTCGCCTTTGAGCTCCTCAATGACTGCGGCCGCCACCACCGTTGCCGTCGCAGAGGTAATCATAGCGACAGAAAAAAGACCATGGTAACAGAAACCCATACCAAGCTCTATGCCATCAGTACCCAAAGCCCGAAAGCCCTGGACCATCTAGCCAAGACTCCGTGAAGATAGCCCGCCTCCCCGCCCCACACCCTAACCTAAACTCCTCCTAAACCCTAACCCCAAGCCATAAACCTTAAACCCTAAACCCAAACCCTATACCTTAAACCCTAAAACTTGAACCCTAAACCCAAATCCTAAACTCCCATGAGCAGAACTGCCTCAATGATCTCTTCGTCAGGATTAGCTTGGGCCTGCACCGTTGAGGGCTCAAGGTGAGATACAGACCCAGACCCCTGTAGGATGCAAATATGGAGCCTCCAGAACATGACCCCACTACTACATTGGAGAACCCAGGAGAGTAAAGGTTTTTTCCGGATCCTTTGGAGGATTTGGGGAGTAAGGTCTGCGAGAGATCTAGGACACGTGCCGAAGTTTGATAGCTAGGCTAGGTGTAGGATTTGGCTTTGAGGGTTTAGGGTTGAGTTTAGGGTCAGAGTTTAGGTTCAGGGACTTCGTAAGAATACCTATAAACTCTACAACTATAACCCATACAGTAAGCCCAGTTCTGCCCCTGATTAACCCACTTCCTAAGTCCCCTGACCCTCCAAGTAGGGTTTAGGGTTTAGGGATAGCTAGACTGGGTGCAGCACCTGCAATCATGATCACAACACACACTTTGGCAAAATGAACCCCGTATTTGTGTTGGAACCATGATCTACTTTTCAAGGGGCCTTCCAACCCTAAACCCTAAACCCCTAAACCCTAAACGTTTTTTTGCTTCTTGTCTCTTCTTGGTTTAGCGTTGAGGATTAAACTCCAGTGCAGGCCTCCAGAGGCCTTACGCTAGGAGCATGATGAGCGTAATATCCTCATACGAGTAGCTTCTTTTGGTGGTTAAACCCAGTAAGATAATATCCCTTATTTAAAATACTATACCCCAAAAGGAGGATAGAATCTTATTCTATATTGGGTACCATAGTATCCCCAAATTAAAATACTACTCATGTGACAACCTGCGCATACCTCACCGGGTTTAGGGTTTAGGGACATTATATGTTGGGGGACACATTTACTGTAAGGCGTGAAGGGGATGGCTAATATTGGTACGACGCAAACCGAACACCCTAAACTCTAAACCCTGAAGTTCAAGAACCCTGTGCCCTAAACCGAAAACCAGTAGCAAATGATCAAGCCTGGGATGAGCAGAAATTTACAAGGCCAAGAGCGACCAAACGTCAAAAACCAAATGGTCAAAAAGTCGCTCGAAACTCCGGACATGAAAACTATACGATTTGAAAATAACCCTAAGGCCTGCACAGTTTCTAAATAAAAGAGACCTCCTAGACTTTAAACCCCCAGCTCCAACCCAAATCCCCCAAACCCACATCCCCGAAACTAATCCCTGGGCTTAGACCCTAAACCCTTAACCCTAGGGTTTAAAGTCCCTAAACCCTAAACCCTCACACCTGTGAGAAAGTTCTTCCACCCCCTGCCTCGGCAGCTTCCAGGCGAGCACGCTCCTTCCTCGGCGCAAAGAAGCCACTGGGTTCGTTTCGCTAGGTAGGTCTATGGAGGTTTCCCAAAATTACGGTTTAGGCTTTCCCAAAAGTCACTTTAGTAGGGATTATCGTATTTTTGGGGGTCCATATTAGTGTCCCCCCTTATTTAGGGAAACTACCATACTACGAAATACTACTGTTATTCAAAAGCGTGGCTATAGAGGGATATAAGCTTTAACCTGGCTGTAATTTGAATGTTTCGTACATGGTCCTGTTGAAGGTGTGGGGGCTTAGGGTTTAGTCAAGGGTCAGAAGGGAGTAGCCGGGATTACTGTTCAGGACTAAAAGACTTACGGGTTTAGGGTTTCGGAGTTTCAGGTTAGGGTTTAGAGTGCAGGTATTTGACGGTGCTTAAGGCTTAAAGGAAGTAACAGAGGTGCTTTCTATGATGATCACTGCTTAGTTCCATATAAACCTATTAAAAAAAAACCATGCTTTCCTCTAAACGCTCAATCCCTAAACCCTAAGGTCTTTGGGGCGCAGTCAAAGCCAGGAATTTGCATGGGGTGTATCTAAGGGGTATACAGGGATCACGAAGACAGATCCGGAGTTTGGGAATTTAAGGTTTAGGAATTTAGGGTTTAGGGATTTAGGGTGCTGGGTTTATAGCTGCTATTGGCTTAGGGGCGCAAACCTCAAAGTGCTTACCAATTGTTTACCTTTTCTAGGGTTTAGGGCTCAAGATTTGTCGGGTTGAGGGCATTTACTGCTGAGGCCAGGGTAGATAAAAGTGTAATTATGAAGAGTGTATGGGGGGTCAGATTTGGTGTTTAGGGTACAAGTAAAAGCCACGTTGTTATTGTGAATGTGCTTCTGGGTGGATACCTATCCGCAGAACGGGTATGCCAACTGTTCAGTCTAAGTTGTGCCATGTAAGAGTACCAGCAACACAAGACTCCTTGTGTTTGGAACACCCCGCTAAGTGCCATTGCAAAACACTCCTGACACTGCTTGATATTGAGCACGTGTTTTGCATGTTGTTGTCTAACCTATGCAACTGAAATTGCGCCATGCGGTTTTTATGTAGCTCAACGATGACCTCTGCATTATCCGGCCGGTAAGAAGTCGCCAACACGCAATTCGATGCAGCAAAACAAGGATGCATCAGCTAGCTCTGGCCAATCAGTTCCAACCCAAATTGATTGCGTGATTCTTCCTACTTGATTGTCAATCCCAGCAGTGTGGTTGTTTTAGTTGGGCATGTGGAAACTTGGAGATTTCCCCTGAACGTCAACCACATCATCCGCGGAAGAGTTCACATCGAGCATCATGTTGCACTCATCCTCCTCGCTGCTGGTCTTGAGGAACCAAAAGGGACCCTAAGGGTCCAAGTGCCCAACAATTAGGTGCTTTGATTATAGTACCGGCTTTGAGTAAGTATATGATTATTAGGTACTTGGACCCTTAGGGGGAGAGATACAGCCCTTTTGCAAGCCTTCATCCGGGATTGCAGCGAAGCGCTGGATGGTGATGAGGCCTGCAACTTTGCACCGCCTGCTTTGAAGCGGCGGATTGCAGCGAAGCGCTGGATGGTGATGAGGCCTGCAACTTTGCACCGCCTGCTTTGAAGTGGCGGATTGCAACGAAGCGCTGGATGGTGATGAGGCCTGCAACTTTGCACCGCCTGCTTTGAAGTGGCGGATTGCAGCGAAGCGCTGGATGGTGATGAGGCCTGCAACTTTGCGCCGCCTGCTTTGAAGTGGCGGATCAAAGGCCAATCCCGTATGTGAACTTGCCTTGTCCTCCTTCAATTTGACACCTACCTTGCGCGTACTGGGTGGAACTCCTGCCTGAAGCTGCTTCCACTCCATGCGTCTTGCCAACCGCATCCCTGCCACCAGGAGTTCGAGCCCCAGGACTGGTCGGCACTGCTGGTGTCACTGGGCCATCGGTCTTCTCCGCAGTCGTCTTTGTTGTCTTTGGCGC